CTTAAATATATGTCCAATTTTGGGAGTTTTTGGAGTTTTTTTTTTTTTTTTTTTTTTTAAAGATGACTTCCAACAACTCCCAAAATTGGACATATATTTAAGTCTATAGAGCATGTTTGGAATAACTTATTTTAAATATAAACAACAAATGTATTGCCTAGTTTTACATACACACACTTATATTTAGAATAATATCACATAAGTCCTATATTCGAAGCTTTAAGATAAGTCACCCCAAACATACTATACTTCTAGGCCACTAGTCTCGGAAGATGCAAACCAAGTGATTTAGTATTTTTTTTTAATTAAAACCTGATCGACTTGATTTCAAAAATATCAACGCAATAAAAAATTTAACTATTGAAGGGTGGTCAATAATTCTTTTTATTTTTTAAGAGAAAGGATTAATAGATTTATCCACTTCTTGGTGAAAATTAAAATCAGATTTTTATTAGATTTTATAAAAGTTGATAAAATAAACGATTTCAAAAGTTGCAGATTCCATAAAATGTGTAATTAAAATTAATCTTCACCAAATAGACTTTTCTCAATTTCAAAGCTTAACTCTCATTATAAAAAAAAAAAAGAAAAAAGAACGTGCATATATTATTTTCTTACAATCTAAGTAATAGTAAACTACACAAATTAAAATTTTTTGCAATCTTCAATTTTATTGCTTGCACTGAATTTTAATTGGCTTATATTATTAAAACCATCTTACATTTACATCTGTGTTTTAAATAATTAATGGCATAGATTTTGACAGCACATAAAATATCAAATTTCATGTATATCAAGAGTGTACAACTATTTTAATCCATATTATTATTTCTAACTTCTATTAAAAAGGGGAACGAGATGTTACTGTGGATGAAACAGTAAACTAATCCGAAACTACTGTGCAGGAGAAAAAAAGGGCATCATTTTTTGTACCTTTTTTATTGTTTTCGGCTAATACCATACCGTTTCCATTTTTCACTCCTACGACCATTCCTCTGCTCTTCCTCTGACTTGATGGAGGTGAAATAAAACCATCGAGAAAATCAAACAACGACTACACCTCCTTTTCTTCATCCTTTTGCGATTTGGGTCGGCACTCCTTCATGTGGGCACTCCTTCTGCAATTTACTGCTTTGAGAAGCATTCGTTGAATTATTATTTGTTGGGATTGTTCACTATTCCTATTGCTTTTATGGTGGCTTGACTTGTGCATTCACAGGTAAATGATTTTGTTCTGCATTTATTTATTTATGTCATGTCTTCTTTTATAAAAAAACTTGCTAATTGAGATAGAGGTTTTGGATATCATCTTGTTATCGTGGTTGTAAATTGTTGATTGGAGTATAAGTTGCAATGAAATTTAGGAAGCCTTCTTTTACTAGAAATGAACTTTAAGTTTTGGTTTTATGACAAAATTTCACGTTGTCATCTCTTGGTGTCAAATGGGCTTCTAGGAGAGAAGAAAGATAAAAAGTGTAAAGAAATAGGGAAAAATAGATATTACATAAACAAATAAAGAAAAGTAGGGAAAGATTACTGATAAAAAAAAAAGAAAAAGATCTCTCCGCATAGTGCGGACTGTGCGAAGAGATCAACTCTCTGCGCACTGTGGGGAGAGATTTTTTTTCTCTCCGCACTATGCTGAGAGTTTTGCCATAGTCTCTGCATTATATGTTTTTAGTGATTGTATTTGTTTTAGCTTTTGATCTCACTTTTGGTAAACAATATGTTATAACAGTATGTTATAGTTAAGATTTCGTCGTCATTGAAAAAAGAACTTTCCGAACTGTTCGAAGAGATGGCAAACCATCTCTCTATACTTAGCCTCTCCGCACTGTTCGGAGAGATCAATTGATCTCTCCGAACTATGCGGAGAGATTTTTTTATTTATTTTTAATCAATATCATTACTTGATAAGTGCATTTTCATTTTCTTATACACAATTATGTTTAATTTATTTATATAAAATGCTTTAAAAATAATATTAATAATAATTATTAAGCTAATAAAAAATACACTAAAAAGGTATACAAATCAAATTTCTCAAAAAAATTAGTAACAAAAAGTAAACAAAATGTATTTACCTATTTTTAATTTCGTCTAATTTACTAATTTAATAATTTAAATGAAAAAAATTTCCTGTGCTTTGTGAAGTCCCCGCACAGTTTGTGTAGAGACTCCGCACTGTGTGGAGTTCACACTTGTGCGGAGACTTCGCACAAATCGCACAATTTATGCGGAGTCTCCGCACAAGTGAGGACTCCCTTTTTTTTTGCTGAATGATGCAACTAATATTTGTTTACTTTGTTATTTTATTAATTAAAAATATGCATTAAATCTAATAAAAAAGTAAAACTACAAAAATAAGTTTTAAAAAAAAAAACTCCCCCATATGTGCGGAGACTCCGTACAAAAATGTGCGAAATCTCCCCATGTTTGGAGTAATGTGCGGACACTCCGCACTCCGTTTGCACAATGAGTGCGGACACTTCGCACAATCTGTGCGGAGTCTTTGCACAGTTCGCATAGATTGTGCAAGTGTTGGCACAATGTGCAGTGTGGATGGAGTGCGCACACTCCGCACAGATTGTGCAGAGTGTCCACACAATCCGCATAGATTATGTGGAGTGTGTGGACACTCCGCATACTGTGAGGTCTCTGCACAGATTTTGCGGAGTTGCACACTAATGTTTCTCCGTAATTTTTTTAAATTTAATCATGCAATTAGTTTATTATATTATTAGTTAAAGATATGCATTAAATGTAAAAAAAAATATAATTACAACAATATAATACAAAAAAACTCTTAAAATAATCATTGCTAACAAAAAAAGAATGTAAAAAAAAAAA